CTGCAGTCCCTGCTTCAACTCAGGCCACAACTGGGTTGGTTAGGTGAGTTTGTGATTGGGGTGGAGGGAGGCTTGCCCTGCTAAACCCATCTGACATACTTTTGTTCTTCCTTATTTCTTTCCCCCTTTTCCAGTTGTCATAATAAAGAATCGAACAGCTTTCAAACCTGGGCTACCCAGGCAATGTCCCTGAAAAAATGTCATACATAGAGAGCTGCTTCTCCTGGACCTGGTCTCCACAATGAGGATGACTGGGTGGCTGGTCAAGAATGAAATTCACACCAGGGCGAGATTCAGAATCACAAGAGGGCTGGCAACATGTCTGTCTGTCCACTGAGTGATTCGTTCCCTTTTAGATATGAGTACAATTCTCAGCAATCATGGGAAAGAAGCAGCAGGCCTGCTGAGGCTTGCTACCAAGCACTTGGACATAGAGACAAAGGTGCATATCCTTATTGTTTTGTTATTTATTCATTTATTTTTAGACAGGCTTTCGCTGTTTGGCCCTGTCTCTATATCCAGACTGGCATGTCCCCCAATTGTTTCAATCAAGGCATGCACCACCACCACCACTATTGGCTACAGGTGCATCCACCTTGCTGACCTGGAGAAAGCCTGTGTTGAAAACACAAGCTGTAACAGCATCTGCGAGTTGACATTTGAGGGAATACATGTGCTACTTTGATCAAAGTTTGAGAATACACGAGAATGTGTACAAGGACACATTTGCATAAGCACACAAGTGTAAACATATTACATGTGAGTGTGTCTACACACACACACAACCACACACACACACACCAACACACCCCCACACACACACCAAAGCAAGTATAGTGATAAAGAAACACAAAGTTAATTGAAGGACCAGGTAGCCATTGGAAGTTCTGACCATCTCTGCAGGGGCATCCTGGTGAGAAAAACCATGAGAGTGAGACAGGGTGATGTTGCTGATAACACTGGGGTCATCCTCTCTGGATGCTAGGTGGTTGACAGGACCCAGCATGCCAGGATTTTGGGAAGCTTATTACTGCTGAGTAGATGCAGTTGTTGGGCTGATGAGGAGATGATCCCAGCTGTGTTAGCACTTGGGTCACCGACTGTCTCTGTTCTCTGCAGCTTGAGTCTAGGCAGACGGCCCGGCACAAGGAGAAATGAATATCACCTTCATCAATTCTACTAACATCCCCCAAAATTATTATGTTTATTCTGTTATTTATGTTTTGTTTATTCTGTTAGAAATAAAATGCATTGTTCCAAGAAGTTGTTGTTGTTTAAATCTGTTCATCGTTTTGTACATACCAATGCAAGTTCCTTCTAGCACCCCTCCTCCTGCATTCCCCTTATTCTACATACCCCTCCTGGCATCTTCTCCTCAAACTGGGTTAGGCCTCCCATGGGTAGTCCAAGAAGTCTGTCCCATCACCAAGT